GCACATATGCTAGGAAATAACACACATAATTGTAGGTTTAAAAATTGGTAATCAAATGTCAATATATTGCAGCAGATCAAATTACCACCAAATGTTTTACTAATTAACAGAAGAATATCAGGCTATCAAAAAGAAAGGACTTATTTCCCAAACTACAGCATGCCCATACTTTACACATATTTTTCAAACAGGAGAACGTAAGAACCAGACTGATGGCAGCACACATTCATTATTTGTGCAGACACACCATTTTCAGCAAGCTAAGTAAAAACATCCAGCAGAAGCAATGTGTGGGAAACTATTTTACATACAAGAACTCATTTTCCTATGGGTTCATTTTTACGGTAATTTTTTGGAGACTAGGGGGGAAAAAACGTCTGCATAAAGTTGATTTTACCCTAGATTACAGTGGGGGAAAATACATGCACAGACAACCAAATACTACTGAATAATATTGTTTGGTTTTGATAGACCAAATATTTGTGCTTGAAAAAACATGCAATAAATATCATCTGGTGGGGAAAAAAATGATCACACAGGATACAATTGCAAGTTTTTATTTTGTTCATAAAATCAGTTTTCTGAAATTGCAGAATTTTAGTCTGACAGTATGTTCTTGCACATATAAAGCAAATGAAAGTCTAAAAGATGAATTCTCCCATTCACAAACAATCTAAAGGGGAAGTATGGAAAAAAGATTATACTGTTTAATGTATTTGTATATAGCATTATAAGGGCTATGTAAGACTGTATTCTGGTTTTATAGAAATATGGCATACCAGAAAATGCTATTATATTCTCACATGAATCCACCATCATAATAAAAAATGGCTTCTTTGATTTCAGGGAAATACACCTTCTACTGATTATGGAACATAAATCCACTTTACACTTTTGAAATGCATCCAAAAGAGCTGAATCACAGCAATTTTCAGTGGAAATACCAATAAACAACATGGTTTTACATGCATATGTAAAACTTAAATACTCATTTAAGGCTAAAATGTGACTAAACCATTTTAAATGGCTTCTCCATTTCACAAACCACAAGCACCTACACAAAATTAGTCAGCATCTAATGACTTTAAAAAAACACCGAAACAATAATCATAAAACTTTAACCTCATCCTTAACCTCATCCTGCCATACACTTACCCTTGTTATAGTTTTATACATATTTAGTATCAGTAATTGTATTGATACTACTCAGTTGTTCCTCCCCTGTGCACTGCTCTTGCTTTATGATACTGTTGGATCTCATTATAAACCCAATTCATTATAATAGTATCAAAATTGAATAATGCAACTCTTTGCTTGTATAAAGAGTGCACTGATAGTCTCCATTAACACCTCCCACCTCTTGCACCATGGTTTAGGGGCAAATGACTGAAAGATCAGTTTGCAAATTTGGCTTTACACCGTGTGGTTATTTTCATTGAACCTCTGGAAGTTATTTGCAGCAGGTAACATAAAGCATTTTACTGGCAAATGTCTACAAGCCTGGGATCTCAGCTGATTAACTGATGAAGAGGGCATGAAGAAGTGGTGGGAGAGGGCAGATGGAAGATAGGGGACCATCTCCTTTCCACCTTCACAAAGAATGCATGCTGATGCTCAGGTGTGGAAGATGAATGAACAGTCAACTTCTAGATAGTGTTGTAATACCTAGTGACACAAAGCTGCTGGCTCCAGTAGGGTTGCACAAGCATAAGGGATCTAATGTTTTAATAGACATCAATGTAGAGTCAGGACCAAATGCTAAACTATGCAAAACCCTTTCACAACCCTCCCAGTATTGCTTTCTGAAGGCTTAGATGAGCAATGGCTAAAGCCATGTACAAGGGCTGTTGGGAGTCAGCTTTCTGCTTGCAAATCACCTAGGCAAGGGATTTCAGGAAACACCTGATAGAGTAATTGAGTGATTTAGGAACATCTAGTGTACCTAGATACTCAGCACACTTGGTGGTGCCATTTAAGGATACCACTAAATACAGATTAGAGCTCCAATAAAGACAAATGTGAACATGGCACCAGCTCAAGATCATTTATTTTATGATAATGATGTTGCAACACTCCAAGAAGCTTTGTGCTGAGTGTGTGAGTAAAAGCAACTCAAAGCCAAGATAGCATTATTTTACATGTAGATTATTAATATACATACTAATATTAAGTTTCATATATTAAAAGGAATCTCCATGTACATATGCACATCTATATTTATGTGTGTGTGTGTGTGTGTGTGTGTGTGTGTCTATACGTGCCTACATGTACATAACAGTGAACAAAAAGATTTTCTGCATAAATATGAATTTTCAAACTAGAATGTTTTACTTATCTGGGTGTGCATATATAATCTCTAGTTGCTAGTAGCTGTAGTTAAATGAGAAGCATTTCTGAGGCTGTTACATTTTTTAAGGACCATTAGTCCTTCTGGAGTTCATGCTATGTGAATAACGAATGTATCAGTCACATTGCAATGGATAAACCAAACTGCAAACATAAACTTTTAAAGCCTTGCTGTTTCTCTAAAGCAACTTTAATCTGTGCTTTGCCAGTGCGTGCGCTTATTCCTGGCTGTTGAGTAATGTGCTGAGCTTGTTTCAAGGGTTTACACTTGCAACCTAAAAATCAATTATATGAAAAACAATAAAAAAATATTCTTATTGCATGCCATTAAAAAAAAAAAAAATATACAAAAGGTTAAGCAGAGCAGCCGGCATCTGCACACTAATGACATGATTGTTATGATAGGTGTTTGCTTTACCCTGGAGTGGTAACATTATAATTCATCCACTGCTGAATGAGTGGGGACAATTAATGCAGTCAATGTGTCCCACGTGTTCCCTGCAGCATTAACAAGGCAGCTCCAGGCCCCTCGGCATACACGGGGCTGAAAATTGAGCCGGCTCTCCCGTTGAATGTGATCCTGATTACCTCCGCGGGGGCCACCTGCTGCTTCGTGCCGGCTGGTTCTGTGCGCCGGCCGCCGCTGCCCGCGGGGCCCCGGGGAGCGCGGCGGGGCCGCGGGCAGGCGGCACCGGGCAGCCGGCACCGATCTGCTGGCACCGGGCAGCCGGCACCGGGCAGCCGGCACCGATCTGCTGGCACCGGGCAGGCGGCACCGATCTGCTGGCACCGGGCAGGCGGCACCGGGCAGCCGGCACCGATCTGCTGGCACCGGGCAGGTGGCACCGATCTGCTGGCACCGGGCAGCCGGCACCGATCTGCTGGCACCGATCTGCTGGCACCGGGCAGGCGGCACCGGGCAGCCGGCACCGGTCTGCTGGCACTGGGCAGGCGGCACCGGGCGGCTGAACACCGGGCAGCGACCCGCTGGCTCGGCCAGGGCGAGCGGCCACGGGCGGGCGGGCAGGGCGCTGCCCCCACAGGCAACTGCGTCTCCTGCGCTGGGCGTTGCAGTTGTCGGGGGGCTCAGCGCTGCTGGAGTTTTCTGGCCTTCAAAATGACCTGTGGTTGTAGGGCTGAAAATGGCTGGCGCCTCCGTCTGTGTCCAGTGATAATAGAGATCAACCTTTCCTCTGGTTGTTGCAGTGTTCCTAAAGTAAACCCATGAAACAACGTGAAAACCGGCTTCCATCCCTGGGCCACCAAGTGATGGGCCCTCACCACCCCTGCTCAGGTATTGACAGGTGAGCACCGTGCTTGCAGCAGCTCCGTGGTGCTTTCCATCTCCTCAGTCCATCCCCAAAACCGAGGCGGTTCTTGCGAGGCTGCGATCAGTTCTGCAGGTCTGTGCCGCTGCAGCTGTGGTCAAAGGGACACTGTGCAGCAGCATCAGGAATCCATGCCTGAAAATAGGAGTCAAAAAGGAAGAGAGAGGTGAAGGAGCCGAGTGGTACCAGGTACCTGCTGTACTGCAGGGTGGCAAACACAGGTTTCATTATTCTGTAGGGTGAGCTTCTTGCACAGGAAGTTTGGAGGGGTTTAGCAATCTGCTTTCCTTTGCCCTCTGCTAAGTGAAGGGCATTTGCTTCATGAATATTCCATTACCCTGCTGTTCCCTGTAAGCCCTCAACCAACTTTTGAAAACAAACAAGCATACACACTTCTAGGCAACAGCATCCAGGCCTTGCTTTCTTTTTTTTTTTTCTTCTCCTCTAAATAGTAAAAAAAAAAATGCCAGATGTTTTTTGCATGTAATTCATAATCTCTTAGCTAGATCTCACACAAAATATGAAAGTGTACTGCAGACAGATCCCAAGGTACTATTATCTCCTCATGCCAGGCTATTAATCTTTAGTTTACTGGTTTAAATTATTTTAAGAAGCTCACTTCTTTTTAAAAGCTTCCCAACAAGGGCCTCAAGACTCCTTTCAAAAGTATATTTTGATTTCTGGACAATATGCCACCAATGAACATTATAAATCTGAACTCATATGACTACCTATGTTACTGCCTAAGCCAGCTGGAACTAGGCCAGGATCATTTTCTCTATTTGTAGACCACACAGCCAAGGTAACATGAAAGAAATAGAGACATTTCTACGTGTTATTCATATTAATTATTTGTATTCAACTGAGACTGGACTCTTTGTGATATGTATTTTAACAGATGTGTCATTGGTATAAATGTGCAAGAAGTGGGATTTCAGTTCTGGAGGCATATTTGTGTTTCCAGACCTTCTTGCTTTTCATTCAAGTTGGGCACAAAAATCTGCCTAAAGTAACAGCAGGAAAAACAACAACAACAACAACAACAACAACAAAAAACAACAACAACAAAAAACCACAATATTTTCAATTTTTCCTCCCCCCATTCTTCATATCTAAGCCACTTTCAAATCTAGATTTTAACCTAATATTTAGCTGATGTTCTTACTATGAGTCGGGGTGTCTGAGTTTGCATTTCTTAGACTTGTGTGTCTTGTCATCTCTTAAAATAACAGCGATGACTTGTCTTAGGGAGAGAACTGGAAGATGAGTGTGGTGTTACCACAAAGGTTCAGTGGTAATGGTGTCTCTTTGTACTTGTAGGTAGATAGAAGAATATTTGGTGGAATTTATCCAAGAGAAGCAATAAGGTGACACCATCTAAAATTTGAAGGGTAAGAGGAATGAGGAAAGAAAGATTATTCCTCCACATGTAATTAAAGGAAATTGGTAAGTAAAATACAAGCTTTCAAAAAAGAAACCCTTTTTGTTTTGCCTTTGCTTACAATTAAATGATATTTTTATGAGGAAAAAAATCCAGTGTCTTAAAGGAAACAAAACTGTACTCTGAGAACTGTGACTCATTAAAAGTATTTCTCAACTGGTTTCACAATGCAAGAAATCTCAAATGCCCTAACTCCCAGACCAGAGCCCACCCACTGAGTTATTTGCCTCCCCAGAAAAAGCAGATAATTTTGATGCCACGAAAATACCATTAATGCACAGAATTCAGATTCCTAAGGATACTAGCATCTTTTCAGACCTGAATTAATGAACAAATTTAGTTCAGAGTTGCAGCAAGCAATTTTATACTGTGTAATATCCAATTCAAAAGGAATTTATCAGCCTCCATCTGCTATTATGAAAAATACCAAAATCAGACATTTTAGTAAAGTAATCTGAAAGCTGCAGCCACTGAACTTTCAGCTAGAAATCATTCTTGGTAACTCCAGGCTGTAAATAATTCTCTTTCTCTGAAGACTGGATAAAAAGTTAGACATACATTGCTGTGTGATCAATTGATTTTACTGGCAGCTGGTCAGGTCAGGAGGACCAGAAGAAAGGCTATGGCAGCACAACCAGTGAATAAATTGCTGGCTCAACCCAGAGTGTAGCCAGTTTGTTCTGAAAAATAGATAATCATGACCAAGTGTACTGCACCATGCTGCAGAGGCATTGCTCAGGGCTCTATTCAGACTTCTCTGTCTAGAAAATAAAAATACAGTGTGAATAACATTCAAACCTTTATTTTGGATCAAACCCAATGGCATTTGAGATTTTCTCCAAGATGAGTCAATTCATATTCATTTCAGCAGGAGCATAATTGAGTAGAAGAGTGCTCAGCCCCAAAAGCTGTGTGAAGTCATGTTTAAGCTGTTATTGTAGGTGTAGCAGGCCCTAGGAAATGGGAATGTCAAAGTCTCAACAGTTTCGTTACTTCAGTTTTGAATAAATTTTGAATTTGTCCCACAGATTTTTTGCTAAATCTGCTCTAGATCCTGGCTCAAGTTTGAATGGTCTTCATATCACTCTTCCCTTAAAAATTTACCTTCCTTTGGGTTTCATGTGTATTGAAGTCCCTACCTGAATCTTGTAGAGGGTATCAATTTGGAGTCAAAACACTAAGATCAGGGGTTGCTTTCATGCTTCTCAACTTCACTTCTTGGAGTGCTCAGTTTGTGGAGTAAATTTTTTTTTTGTAATTCAGTGAACATCAGCAACTGGATTCTTCCCTGTGTGGTTACACGAGACACCCGTACAGGGTAACCTTTGTCAGTCAGGCATAGTCCTGCCTCCCCTCCATAATGCCCATTTGATAAATTATACATGAGTACCTAATGTACTCTCATAAATTATTATAGGCTGTTATAGCCCTGTGTTTAATGGTGATATGTCATAGCACAGAAGCAGACAATGTATTGTCCCAGAAGATGCCATGGACTCTGAGATGGCATTGCCAATTCTACCAGTAAAAATTAACAAATTAAGAGATCTGAAAGTAGAGTACTTGACAACAGCTCCCTTAATTGAGGAAAACATTCCTAATGAAAGGGCGTTGTTGCAGGAATTAGTTCATTGGTGAGAGAGACAGGGTTTGATTTAGGATCCCTTCTGGCTCTCTTGTTCCCCAAGCAATCAGGAGGAGCTTTGAGTGCTCAGTCCCTAGGGACAGGCAAGCCTTACATCACTTACCAACCACGCCTCCTGTGATTAAGGGAAGAGGTAGAAGCTTTCCAAAGGATTTTCATCCTGTTGTTTTCACTAGGAAGAGGCTGAATAATGTCTTCAAAATGTGAAGTTAAAGCATATCTAGAAAGGTGGAATGAAGAAAAAGGGTGAGTGGAATCGAATACCTGAAAGATACAATAGCCATATCCTGTCCTAGCAACAGAATGCAATGAGAAAATCTAGGACCACTTAAAATGGGTCTGCTTTTTGTCTCAAGATTAATATTTAGGATTTAGGATGCTGCTCTCCAACATATGTTACAGCTATACCTAGAAGGAGCTGTACAACTACACTCAGGAAAAGGTACTACTCAGTGTAAAAGGGTTACCACAACTGTACAACAAACTGTACAACAAACTGTACAACCCTTCTCCACCAAAGTGCAAATATCATGGCACTCACAAAGGAATCACATTTCATTTTAAATGTCTTAAATTATCTGAAATTTATAGGATGATGGATATATGTATTTAAGATGTTCTCATACCTTAGGATTTAGAAGTCTTTTTCTTTTAAAGGATTTTTAACATTTTACATCAGAGGTTCATTGATTTTCATCCAATTTTTCCAAAACACATTTGAGCTGTACAGCAGAACTTCAAGGCTGATGTGGCCTTAAGGTTAGGATCTGTAAAGCAACAGTTGGCTGAAGTATTTTCCCACACATTTTAGTGGACAACTGCTTTTTTTTTAGAAAACCCTTTATTTCAAGGGTTTTTCTTTAAAAATAAATCAATGTATTTGATTTATAGGAGAAATTTTACAGTTTTACAGAGGAAGATTAACTGTTTTCAGGATAAAATGTAAAACTTCCTTTTTTTCTTTTTTCCTACCTACTTTTGGTCTACCACAATGTCAAGTCAGCTGTAGGAAGGTTCACCAGTCTAGTCTAGTTCACTGCTCTAACTTAAAGAGTTATTGCTGCAGATTTAGACCCATATTGTAAATGACATTACAATCGGGAAAATATTTCTCATGAAACCAGAAATTACATACTTGAGAGGCTAGAAAAGTTTGTACACACAAAAAAAATAAAAACCTCTTGTTCTTATATCTTAGTCTGTTTAGAGGTTTTGGGGATTCTTTTTTAATATACTGCTTCAGCTGAATGCTAGCAGTGTGCCTTGTTATTTAAAATAGAGCAGTTTTCTTGAAAGTGTGTGAAGTGACTGTAATCTTTATTTTTAAGAAACTCCAGTGCTTTAAAACTTGGTGGCATATCCTACCTTACGGTAGATACCAGTGGATATCTGATTTGTGAAACAGGGACTTGCATACTCTTTGAGTTGGTTGTGTGTTGTAGTGCCATGGCAATGAGTACTATAAGCAGACAAAGGTACATCTTAGTAAGAGCAGATGTACAATGTTCAGTCATTAGAAATGAGATGCTTACCAAGACCAGGTCATACGGTAAATGTGGAAATTAATAAAGTAGTAACTAATGTAAGTAATGATGATATATGGATAGTTAGGAAATGTTATATATGGAGATTTTTAGGCTGCTACCCAAGAAACACTGATCGCCTCTTTCTACCTTTGCAAATAAAGAAATTGAGATCTAGGAAGAAGTGTCTCACATAAATGCAGTGGTGACAAATGCCATGACATTTCTTGGCAGTCTTCCGTGGATTAGCTAATGCAAATAGTTGACAGTCACTCACCAGGAAAAAAAAAAAAAAGGCTTGAATAAAAGGAATAATTAGATTAAAAAAGGATGTTCCAGGGTTTATATTACACCATGCTGGATACCATTTTAAACAACAGTGCTTCATGTGCTGGATTAGTTGCTAGTGGAAGAAAAGCAGTTAGGTGAGTGGAAACATCCTTTTGATGTCATCTTCTGAATTTCTGGCAAGCACGGATGACCCTTCTCCACATGAAGACAAAATGCAAGGCCAGGCTACCTCTGGTGAATGTTCAGCAAAGCTAAGGAAGAGATTAGAAATGATCAGTGATCAACATCTAATTATGTTTTAAGTCTTCTTCAGGATAAATCTAACAAGATTGACACTGTGACATTGAAAATAGAATTTCTCTTCGGTGTTTTTATTTTGTTGGGTTTTTTTAGGGATTTTATTTCCCAAAGGGGGAAATTAGCCTCAGTGACTTGAGGTAGTGAAGTCCCACTGACATTAGATCCTTCCACTGACTTCAAAAGAAATTAGGTTGAGCCCAAGCAGTCTAGAAATGAAAGAGTACATGGAAAAATAAAATCAATTCGCTGAAATAGCAAAGGCTAACAACAAGAGGAGGTTGCTTGGCTGTCTTCCAAAAGGTGGTGTATGAAGAATAGATGTTTACAAATACACCATATTTTATAAGAGCATAAAACACAGGCCTGAAGTGAGACTTCTGTGGTTCAGTCAGGGGTTCCTTAGGCTGAACCATGATAACTACAAGGCATTTGGTCAGATTAAAGTGATTTACAGAAGTTCTGGAGATCTGGGGCCCATTGTATCTGTAGGGGAGTTGCTTTATGTGACTACAGTTCCCTTGTGGCCTGTTTTACCAACATATATAGGCACCAGGGCAGCTGAAATTTCATTCACTAGTGTGTTTATGTTCAGAAACAACTCGCTAGGCAACCCAACACCAGTAACTTCATCCAACATAGTGTTTCTGTTCAAACCAATCTGTTGGGTTTTTTTTGTTGTTTTTTTTTCATATTTGCTCACTAAGAATTCTGATGATTTTTGCTAATTTATTGTCTTCCTGTGAGTGGTATCTCCTTACAGCAGAAAGGACTCAGTTATCTTAGCCTCACTGAAGCTGATACATCTCAAGGGATCCAAATTTCATGCAGCTGCTTCAGACTAGCAATGAGTAAAGGAACATCACCAGAGTGGGATTTACAGCCTCCTCCAACCACTGTTAAGTACCAGTTCAACAAATCTAAGTTACAGTCACAGGTAGGATGCAGCTAGAAGAGTTGGAAGCTGGTTGGAAAAGGCTAAGCATCCCCATTTGCTGTCATTGATACTGTAATACTGCAGTGCACAAGCATATGGATGCAACAAAAAAGGATGGAGAAAGAAGGGTCTGCTCTACAAGGAAATTCAGAACAAAAAAACATCTGAAGCTGCTAGAGAAATAAGACAGCATTTTGCCAAACTTTCTACTGTGCACTTGCAGCTTTATAACATTTAACTTTTTGAAAAATTTTACAATTCAATTACTTTATTTCTTAAATATGTTTCAGAGCCTTAACACATCTAATAACAGCAGATCAATAGGCTCATTGTCGTACAGTGTATCACAGCACCAGCAAATACCTATGTTATGAAACTAAGTGAATTTACTGGAGTGTAAACCCCTAGTGAGTTGTCTGTAATCATCCAGCAGGCCTTCAGGGCAAGAGAATTAATGTATTTTAATATTTTAGGTTATCTTCCATATGGCATAATGCTATACCCCATCTGTATGTGTGCGTTTGCAAACAAATGTAGGAGGTTTTTTTCCAGAAATAATTTTCCCTTAGTGGAATCTCACCTGCATTCTAATGTCTTTTATCATCTAGTCCTTCAAAGAAACAAAACTTTGAAGAGTGTGAGTCTACAAATAGCATTAATGTCTGTAGAGCTGAATTAGATTATTCTAGATCTCTTTTCTCTTTGGAGTGTTGAAATACCTGTTCTATTCTATTTTAAAGGACTCTGCTATTTAAAAAACAAGGCATCCTTGAAAGGGGACGTGGAACCTCTCACTGAATCACAAAAAAAGAATGTTCAAGGCTTCATATAATCATTGTCATGTAAGTGTTTTGAGACCCTAGCTCTTGTGGTATCCCTTTGTGGGCATACTGGCATGGCAGCCCTTAGCCATGGGGTGTCCAGTTATCTTAATGTGCTCAGAAACACAGCTGTTGGTAAGAGCAGCTAAAGGGGGATGCCAAAAGAGAAAAACTCATGCACATTCATATTTGCATAGGTATTTATACCGGTTTCCATGGAGCATTACAGAGAACTTTTAATAACTCTTTAGAAGAGTTGTGGGGAAGCAACAAAGGGGAGGAAGCATCCCTTGCTGAATCCTCATCAATCCTGATCAATCATCAGGATTTCACCTCCTTAGGTGCCCTGTTCCTAGCTTGTGTGGACCTGGTGTGCAGTGAGCTCAGCAGTAGAGGTGTCAGTGACAGCTCTGTCAGGAGATCACACAGCTCTCCCATACCTGCCTGCATCAGATTGAGTGGATATCCTGTGAGAAATTCAAAGGAAGTAATTTTGGCATCAGCATTAGATAATGTCCACTGTTAAAAAATGTAGGTTGTTAATGATTTAAATTCAGGCTTACTTCACAAGTTGTACAAATTAGGACAGCAACACCCTTCATTTGTGCCTACAGTAAGATATTTTTAAAGTCAGGCTTTTTAACTTAAAGGAGAGGCTGCAACACTGTCAGCAACACCATAAATTCAGCAAGAGAGACTACAACCCGACAATCACATATTGGCTGACATGTGCCTTGTAATAGAGGTATTATTTACTACTTCAAGAAAAGATAAACAGCACTGTTTGTTTGCTCTATGTCTCAGAGAAGAAACAAACTGCAGAGACTTAAAAAGTGTCATTGTTAACTGGCACTGTTGGATAAATTATTTTATGAAAAAATGAAGGCATTTTAAAAACAAGTTACATAATAGACCACCTTTTGTAGCATTTTTTTCTACTGAATCCTGAAATTATAAATGCACACTGATATTGTAATAAATGCATTGAAGCACTGGTGCTAAGAACAGTAGAATGGAATTTACAGAAGAAAACTCCCTTTCCAGAGACCTGCTGTTCAGAAAAGTGTATTAATTGTCTTGGTGGCAATTGTAAAAAAAAAAGTCTTTTAAAAATACTTTCTTCATCCTTTCTGGTTTTTGGGGGATTTTTTTGTTTGGTTGGTTGGGATTTTTTTGGTTGGTTGGTTGATTGGTTATTTTTTGCTATTGGTATTTTGGGGGCCATGATGTTTGTTTTGGTTTTGGAGGTTTTTTTTTTTTTTTCATTTTTTTTGTTTTTTTGGTTTTTTGTTTTTCATGTAGGAAAATACATTTTGCAGAAGTGTTGGCAATGGAATAAATTATTTTCACAGATGCAGATATTCTATCAGGAAAACAGAGAATGTGAATGGTTTCTGTGGAATCCTGTTAGCACCACATGGCATGACAAGCATTTTTGTGCACTCTGGTGCAGCCATGCAGCATTTTTCAGGGTGGTGCAACCTGTACTGCCTCTGCTCCTGCTGTGTGAGGAGTTACCTGCAGCCCAGAAATAAAATTCATCCACAGCTGCAGATTTTGCAGAGTTGGAGGCCAAAGAGTTTGGTGAGAAAGTGGGAAGCAAGTAAATGCCTAGAACCAGCCTTTTACCCTGTTGCTACTTATTTTTGCATAGACCTCCTTGAAGTAATTTTTCGAAGTCCTCATTTTGGTTTGTTGCCTAATGAAATTGGTTATGTATTCATGTTATTCATTCATCTATGTCTGTTTCATATAATTCTTAATCTTTTCTTCTTAATCTAAACCTCTAACCTCTATTTTTAATGACCATATACAACAGTCATGCTAACTTCTTTCATAACCAAAGTGAGCTAACCAAAATAAACTAAGAAAAGTGTGGATTATTTTACCACATTTTTTCCTAACTAAACTAATGTTACTGGCTTCTTTCTGACACATCCCATTATTTATACATCTCAAGTTTTTTCTTGATTTTCTACATCTAAGAAAAAGTGAATCAGATAGGAAAGAAATGAAGCAATGTAATGGCACAAAAACATAAGTTGAATCCATAGTGCACAGCAAGTTCACGCTAGAGTTAAAATTGTCAGTTATATTTGCACTTTCCTCAAAGCAGCTCCCAACCCACTGCTGCATTTACATTTGATCATTTTTTAAGTGTACAAACTATTAAAAAAGAGAGTTCCTCACAAAAACTAATGATGCAGATCACAGTTTTTTCATTACCTTTTTCTCAGCTTGACACAGCTTTAGCTGTGTTGTTTTTTATTTTGACTTGAAAATTTACTTTTAATTCTGCTTATTTCTTGGAATAGAAAAATTGTATGTTGAGGTCTTTTTCAGATAAACAGGTTTAATTCTGGGAGTTGATGGTCATCCTGTCCTTATTGATACAAAGCACTCTAAGAGAGCTCTGTCTTAGAGCAAGAATATTCACCTCAGTATGAGTTTTCCTTTGAACATATAATTGTATCTATTTAAACACCAATTCTAATACAACCTTTCATAATAAATGCAGGTGTGTATACATATGCATATATCTATATACACGCTCACACACCTGTAATTTTTGTCTCCAACTGGACTACCTTCATCATTTCACTTCCATTGCTCCAAAGATCAATGGGTAAAAGAATAAGAACTATTTATTTATCTTTAAAGAAATCTTGAGCATATCATAGGCTTGAAAATACAAAATAATTGATCATTAATATGTATATTGGGAACTGAAAAAAAAAAAGTGATTCTCATGGGGATTCTAAAGTAAACTGATATTGAAATTAGAAAGTGATCCAAAAAGTAAAACTGGGCAATCTTCTACTAAATACTGAGGGTTTCATATGCACTGTATGTTAATTGGTATTCATTACTTTCTCTACAGGTGTATACTTTATTTTTAGAGAAATGGAGGCAGTGAAAGAAGAGATTTAACCCTGAAAAAAAAAAAAAAGAAGAAGAAGAAAGCAATATCAATCAGAGATTCTAGTTCAAGAGTTCCTGGCATGACCAGTATTTAGGTCAGTGTAAATGAAATGGAACAGTCCTGTCATAACACAAAAGCAGCAGGAGGACTGCTACCTGTACAGACTGTTGGCTCCATAGGAAAAACATGCCTCTCTTTCCACTGTCATCTGAAAGAGTATGAAACCAGGATAGAAGAAATGTGTCTGGCTCTCTTTCTAGTCCAGTTTTTGCCTGCCTTCTACACAAATCTCATCTCTTTTTTCTAAATGTAAAAGGAAGGACAGCTACACTTGCTGTTATGGTTGAGATTTTTGCATCGTATTTCACTGGCACCAACACCGTTCAGTGGCCTGAAGTAAGGTGGGTCTGGGTGGGATTTTAAAGTACATGAGGGCCATATTTTATAAAGTTCTTTAGAAATGTGAAGATATAAACAAGCATTGAATGACACATATCTTACCAGTTCAGGTGCTTGTCAAGATTCTCCAAGGCAACTAATTTTTATGTTTTAGGAGCTAAGTGCTAGAAATGGTTAAACACTTTAGGTGAAATGGTTTTTCATCTGCAAAGGCACTTTTTCTCAGATTCAAAGCATTTCACAGAGAAGTGGCAAAGTGTATGACATTTCCTACAACTGAAAGTCAAACTAAATTGGATTGAACTTATCTCATTAAAGTAGATGTTAATTCATACAAATAAAGGGAAGAGTATAACTTTACTGGTTTTTATACTTAATTTTGAGAATTTATTACATATTCAATAATATAAAAATCTAGACAACAAACATCATTATGTTACAATATTAACAAACAATTTGAAGGATGAATATGTTGGTGCTTGCAAACTGAAATTTTAGTTTTAGGAGAAATTTTGAATCTGTGTTTTGATTGGATATAAAAATGAACTTCAGAGTTTCCTAAGCAAAGGAAAAAAAATTTTAAGCAGTTCTAATGAGAACTCTGAAAATCTGGCACTTAGAGCTGGCTTAACTCAGTTGGCTTTCATGTTCTTTGTAATATTCCTAGAGACTTCAAAGGAATCAATTAGCTTATTGCTAAGGATTTTTAAAAATCTCATTCTCTTTCTGTTCACAATCTGTATAATGGGGAAGTGATTAGAATATCTATACTACAGAGGTATTCTGAAGTTTTAATTAAGTTCTAGAAATTAATTCAGGATCCTGAGATGGGAGAAGTGGAAAGAAATAACATCCTCATGTGCTCTGGAGCCTCTGGCTGCAGACTGTGAAGCTGTAGCCACTTTTACCAGTTAAAAACATGGAACTTTTAACTCTCAACAGTATGATGCAGAGCTAAATGTCTCTCTTTCTAAGTTGTGGAAAATGTGGAAAATTTTTGTGTATTTAGAAAATTCTTTGCTCATGTTTTGTAATGAGATGTTCATTAGTCTCAGTCTTCAGTCTTTAATATTATTCCTCACTAGAATTTTTTTTTGTTAATATTATTCCTCACTAGGATTTTTTTGTCAGCTACTTGTAGATGTTCCTCTGACTGCTCAGTCTTCTTTCCATCTCATCAGAATTCCTCATTGCAATAACAACACAGGCATTTTTATGATAGGTTGGGGTTTTTTTTCATCATTTCCTGTTGCCTTAGGAAATACTATTTCTGTCTGAGTATGGTCAAGACTGACATCTGTGTAAATCTGAGTATTGGTGTGCATTCTAGTACACATATTTCTAGAAGAAAAATTAATGTTTCCCTTTCCCACTATGAAATGCCAGCCTCTTTAAAATCTCTTGAGTGTAAAAGCCCTGTGTGATTGGAGAGTGTAGGGGAGCAACTGCTGCTCCTCCTTTGGTCCTTCTGAGACACACTAGAGATGGCACATATCCTCCTCCTTCTGTGAGGACATGACCTCCATGTAATCCCCACAAGGTAAAGTTAGATTTAAACTGCTGCATCTTCCTCTCTTGGATTAATAAGGCAGGTTCCCTCTGAAATGGGCATTCAGGAAACCCCACAATGAAGGTGCGGGGGTTCTCCAAGCTGTGGCAGATGTGAGGGACAGTGATGATCCATATGTGATCCACAGCACTCAGTCAGAAGGTTTTCAGAGTCAACATGTGACAGTTGTCAGCCTGCTCTGCAGGTAAATTAAATGAGGTGGGTTGTATCCACACACTGAAAGCACATACCTACATGATGCACAGACTGAGAAACACCTGCACAGCCATCCATGCCAGACAGGTTTGGAAAGCTTCTAGATAATCTGGTCCACTATGTATAATACACAAGGCTAGACAACTCATGTTTTCCTTTCTAGTGGATTTTGATACTCACCCTGCCTTTATCCTGAGCCTGACACTGAACCTATCCCTTCTGATTGAAGATATTTCTGTAACTGCCCTAACCTCAGAGCTCAGCTGTGGGCTTTTTGCCTCTGGGCACATTTCCTTGCTCGATGGTAAAGTGCCTATCACAAACAATATCTCAGAAACCACTGCCCCTTACAGCATCCCTTGTCACATAACACCTCTAATCATAACCTTTTACTGCCAGATGGGGCCAGTGGGACTTGGCAGCTGGAGCATGGGCAGGACCCAGGAGCAGGATGTGATGGGCAAGGCTAACACACAGCTGCAGAGGAGTGTGGGCCACCTCATCAGGTGTTAATGGGCTATGAAGGGGTCATAACTTCTGGTTAAAGCCCTCCCTTGCTTCTTTGATTAATTTACATCTATAGTATTTTTGTGATCAAGCAATTTAGAAAACCAGTTTGCTTTAAACGGATTGCATTGGTCTTGGGTGGGGAAGTGCAAGGCATAGTATCCCAAAAAACAGTGAAGCTTTGAACTTTAAAATAGATGTTGGCCTCTTAGATTGTCCAAAGATTAGCAGTTTTCTACCCATAAAATACACTGTGAGAACTAAAGGAGAGATAAAAAGTAGAATTGGTTTAGTTGTATTTTGAATAAGTGGCATCTAAAAAAATTTAAAATTTTGAAATGGAAAATTAGAAAAATATCCTCCAGAGGACTATTCTCATCTTGTTCTTCCAGAGTATTTAGGCCCTGTGAAAACAAAACAGTATTGCTAAAAACAGAAGAATGGGAACCCCAGTAGAAATGCAGCAACAACTGTAAAATCTGAAGATTCTCATGCTTCTGAGTGCAAAATGCCTAATGTGACTGGCATTCCTATATTATTGTTTTCATTTTCCCTAAACTGCTGTATCACAGTTTCACACACAAGGTGGCTGCACTAGGGAAACAGCTAAAATTGTTCCTACTCATAAGGCTTCTGAAGTGTTGGTTGGTTTATAGCCATAAACTATTGTGATTTATAATTTACCAAAGTGAAAGCACGCAACAAATAATATCAGATCCCTCCATGGCTCATGAGTTTTTCTCACAAAATGAGACCTTTTCATGATTCAGGAACTCTGCCTATGCAATGTAAATATATGTTAAGATGAAGCAACAAGTTTCTTTGAGCTCCATTTCATTGCTGTGATGATCAAACATGACTTCACTGCTGCAGTCTTTACTGTGCAGGCAACTATCTTTCTTTTTTGCTTGACACTTAGTTACTGTCTCCAGAATGGGGAAGAAAAAAAAAAAATTCAGCCTAAACAATTTAACCTAATGCAACAATTCAGAATGTAAGGAGTGGATCTCCTGTTTGCGCCATGTAACTGGGAAAACTTTGAAGTTTGTCCTGTTGGTTCCCTCCATTCTTTCTTTCTCCAGGAATCTCTCAACCAAACATTTATGGTTATTCAGTTGACAGCCAATAAATAGCAAAGTGTTTGGGGGAAATCTGTAGTTTTTTTTGAAAGAAACCTATAAAAGAAAGAGACACTGGGAGAAAGAGGAGGAGAGAGAGCGTAATCTGTACACCATCTGTTGCCTAGTGCAATCCATGCTGACACAGGGCTTTTTGACATTTTATACCTTGAATGCAAGCACATAGATCATTTCTACCTTGTACTTTTCCCGTCTCATTATCGGAATTTATTCCCTTGCTTTGTTGTTGGTGGAGTCCCTATTCTAATTGTTTCTTACATGTGCTGTAAATCTGTCCTCCAATCAGTAAAGCCCTGGAACATGAAACTGAGACCTAGCAATTTCCTTTGCTTACCAGTGCATCTGCTGGAGCATAGTGTTGAAATAAAATGAAACATGTTTGCACTCTTTTTCTATCATACTGTAATGCGCCTTTCATTTTGCTCAAGGAATTTTTAATATTCAAGCCATACCCTGTGCATGAAGTCATTTCCCTTCGATATAATTGTAATGGTAATACGCATGGCCTAGCTGGCAGTGGCACAGCTGGCTGCTTGCCACAGCTGAGCCTCTGACTCAAAGACTTTAATTCTGTCATGCCTCATCTGGTTTTATGTAGTCTTTTGTAGTTAGTTCACAAATTTATTCTAGGGTATCCAATGAGATGGGCAGGCCATTGACTTTTCTCTAAAGATAGCATACTAAACTAATGAAGGGCACCAAATATGTGCATTGATAACCTGTGTGCATACTGAATAGAAATCAGATTATAAGTCAATGTGCCTGGGTGGTCAGGACTTATTGACAGATGCTTAGACCCTGATTGTGCAAAGATTTAGTGGCGGTGAATAAAGGTAAGCATAGGCAAAAGTCTTGCATCATTGCTGCCTGCAGGATCTGCTGTCACAAATAGCAAGTGGCACAGGCTCTGCACAAGCTGCAGTAGCAGCTTGTTGCCCCACAGGACCATTTAATTAATTAATAGCTGTGTTTTGTTTTGCTGGTTTTAGTTAACAGAGTCTTTCTGCGAAATTGTGGTGTGGCTTCGGTCCCAAGGAACTTTTAAAGTATCTCTTTAGGTTGGTTTTCACATACAAAGTCAGAAAAATTTCCTTCAGCCTAAACTGCCATGTCCTGATGCTTTATACACCTGCCATACCTCTTTCACTTCATCTATCACTAGGCCTAAAATGCATGCTCCTAAAGCAATGTTCTGTG